TTATTTTTCCTGTCAAACATTTAATTGGCATTTTGGAAATGTTGAAGGTTTTGATTATTTCAATTTTTGCGGTGAAATTTGTGATGAATTCATCAATTTTTGCGGTGAATTCATTTGTGAATGATTTTATAACATCTATTACCATGTCTTATTACCATGTCTATTACCATGTCTTAGATTGTAGGTAATAATTATTTCTCTAAAAGGTCCTGCAATTCATGCGGATTTAGATCAGATTTTGTTTACTTGATCTCAATCATAAGAAATTTTATGCTTCGTACATGGATTGACACTTTGGACAAGTTTACCACAAAAGAAGAAAAAAATCATTAGCGTACGCTTTGTGGCGCAATGACCTTTCCTGAATATGAGTTGGTCTTTGATTCAAGCTTCTTACATTTAAAAAGTAGGCAGTGGCTACAGTGAGATAAAGACAAAAGACCTCTTTAACAGCTGTCGTTTTCCGAGTTCACGAAACTGAATTTCAAAAAAGGCGGGACATTTTGACCATTTCGACCAATCGAAAGATGGTCACAGAAAGTTCCACAAAAGTTTGACATATGTTTTTTGTATTCCTTTTTTTATCTTGGTGTTGTTTTGATTCACAAATGCTAGTTAGCTATTTAAAACCAATTACTGTTTTGAAAGAAAATGGTTGATGGAAACATAAGCCGAGACGATCCTACTCTGCATTTCCCTTCAAACAGGACACGCCTATTCTGATGGACAATTCAGTACTTCCATTTCTGCAAAAGTTACGAAAACGCATTAACGTTCTAGCGAAATTATTTTGAAACCATTCAGATAGTTTCAGGGCATCGTGCTCTTGATGTGCATTAACATTTTCTTTGCTCTTTACTTGTACAAAATTGCCATAGATTCCAGTCTAACCAATATATGTTAAACAGAAAGGACCCAAGACATCTTGTAGTACATCTAGAGCAGTTTCTACTCGTGTCCTGAATTAAAAATTTAACTTGTACCTACTGCTTCCTATCGGTGAAATAGCTATGGACGAGAAGCAAGGCAGATGTGCTGAAGCCATATGCACTCAATTTTGCTGTTATTAAGTCGTTATAAAGACAAACGAATGCTTTCAAAAGTTCTGCCAATCCCATCCACATAACGTTTCGGCTGTCTTCCAAGTGCAGGCTGTGTACTTTTTCCTTCAACTTCGTATCTCCGTCGAACAACGGAGTACACTCATACGGCTTTGGATAAAAAAGCATCTTATATTTCATCATTTTTACAATTTTTAGTGAATGTTTAAAACTGACGGTTAGACTGTAAATAGTTATCTTATCTAAAAGTAAAAAAGCACAAAAGGTGAACGTTGCCAACTGCAAAGTTGACTTTGAAGGAAGCAGGTTGAGGTGACGTGATGTGGGCAGGTACGGTAGCAATGCTACTGTGAATCTGCAATCTGTATATAGGAAATGATTATCTGTGAAGTAATTTCACTGATAAATTTGATTTGCAATAGACTTTCAAATACTAAACAGGAAGCTTGCCATAAGAAGCAACGTCACAAAAACATTCACGCAATTAGACTTTTAAAGCTCAATTTAAAACCAGAATTTATTGATTTAATAAAGTTTTTACATAAACTATGAAGAAATGTTCAACGGCGGAAATTCTGCGAGATTTAATGTCATGTAAATGGTTTTCATATCATTGGATTTACATGTCAGAAGCGCCGTTCATGCTTTTCTTTATAAGAAAGCTAGCTCGTGGCCTAGTTCTTGAAGTCCTTAATTTTTGGAGCTATTGTTATCAAATTTTGGTGCTCGACGTTCCTTAATAGTTCTTTAACTTAACTGCACAATTGATACCATGCAAATTGCACATCGTACATATTAATTTCTTACAAGTGTCGTTAGATTCTTCACTGTAGCTAAGAACCAGGTGAAAACACAAGGAGGATTGACTACAAAGACACCTGAAATATAATTTTTGGAGATATTGTTATCAAATTTTGGTGCTCAACGCTCCTTACTAGTTCTTTAAATTAACTGCACAATTGATACCATGAAAATTGCACATCGTACATTAGAATTTTTTACAAGTGTCGTTAGATTCTTAACTGTAGCTAGAAACCAGGTGAAAACACAAAGAAGATTAACTACAAAGACATCTGAAAAATGAAGTAGTTGAAATGCAATCAAAAAGAAAAGCAAAACACTCAAAATTACGCAATGAAACACTCGATAGCTACCTTTGTAACACATAATTGATCTGATTTTTGACTATAAATAAAAGGAACTGGCTTCCTAATTCCTGGTTATTTGCAATGATAAAAATGTTCAAAAATGAAACGGTTTCTTTATATTTTATCTTTATTTAGTCCAACGGTTATTATTTACTGCCTTCTACATGTAGGTTTCTTATAAAGTGGCTCCTTTATAAGAAACCACGTGAATTGAATGTTCAAGTATAAAACAACATCTAATTTTTTTATTTGCAACGTATTAGATTTTGATTTCAGACGAATTGATATTGGATTCTAAGGTCAAATAAATTATACTGGATTTTAATGTCAAATAAATCGTATTTGATTTTTATGTCGTACAGTTCGTATTGGATTTTGATATCATATAAATAGCTTTTTATGGATTTTTATTTCATATGCAACTTATCAACAAGATTTTAATCACAAATACATCATGTTTGATTTTCATTTCAGCAACAACGTATTGGATTTCGTTTAATATACAACGCATTTACTGTTCATTTCCAGTGTATTGGGTTTTTGTCATATGCATTACATTTTAGTTTCATATCATGCATCACACTTGACTTTCAAGTCATATCATAAACTTTTCTCAAGATTTTCTCATGTCATATTTATCCCATAATTTATTCAAGGCGTATGCATTGTATGGTATTTACATGACATGTGCATTATATAATGTAAATACCATATATTTATATCATACCCAGCCTAGAGGCTTTTCATGGAATATGTATCGTATGGTATTTTCATGTGAATTACTTAAAATTCTTATTCATAAGCACATTTAAAGTCATCGAATGTCGTCAAAAATTTAAAATTTTTTGAATCAACTTCCAGCAATATATGGATGTATTGTTTGCATATACAGAACTACGACGTCTTGAAAATAATCCGAAAGTATAAAATTTTTTACAGAACGTTTAACTCTATTGATGCCTTAAAAAACTAGCATTGGCTAAGCTACCAGAAACTGCCAAAAGGATACCTTTTTAGCACAGTTGCCATGCTTATGTAAATTGAAGAGAAAAAATGATAAAATTAAATGGGGCAATATTATATTTAAGGATTAAAGTTTACAAAAAGCAATTTTTCTAGGGCTGAGTGCTTTAGAAATACTAGAGCAACTAAGTAGACTATGAAAATGATCGGTTTAAATGTTAATGCGTCTTTTGTGCACCCTTAAACAGCTTTGTCTCTGTTTTTTGGTTTTACTGACCTTTGTTTGTAACAACATATATAGGTCTCTAAAATGAATATACAGTTGCGACGCCTGGCGCTCAGTCTTAACACTAGGCCTCGTGTGTACATAGCAAGTAATTTTACTTTTTCAAAACAAAGTGAGGTTTTTCTCGAAAATTAGAGCTAATGCTATGGCTTTGTCAAAACATCGATTAGCGAAGGCTTACTGGAATTTGCTAACAGTAGTTTAAATTTAAACTAGATGTGATATATGCTATCACAGCGACAAAAAGACATTTATAATCTAATAAAATTTCAGCTTAGGAATCATTTGCGATCTGATGACGATAAAGGCACGACTTTTAAGTAAAACAGCCTTTTTGGATATTCTTAGTAAGATGTTTTAATCTTTTTTCGACGTTTCTATGCATTTTAGCTGGTAGCGGATCCTGCCTAGTCATATTGGTATTGCTTGGCAAATAATATATGTTTTGTTTTGCTTTGAATAGCTTGATTGATAATATCATAAAAGGCGTTCAGTAACGAACCCTGCAGCTTCTGTTTGAGTCATGAAAGTCAGTATTAGTCTTGTCTGTGATTCATGACATGCATGACACACGATAGTAAAATATAAATATAAAACATTAACACAAGGCTCAATACTGTAACTCGAGATAGGAAGACCTCCTTTCAAGGTACGGGGACCTCTGTTCGAGATACGGCGACCTCCTTTCAAGATAGGGAGACTTCTTTTCAATCTGTGCGTAATTTTGCACAGCGGGTATGTTTGTTGCGGTCTTAAGAGCTGTGCCATTTTCATCTTCGCTTGATTTGTCTCTTATCGAGTCCCAGAGTTCTAAAAAGTTTGACACTAGGCAGAATATCGGCAACCCAATAAGAATGGTGCCAAAAATTGAGAAGAAACCGCCTAATGCTTTTCCAAATGTTGTGACAGGATAGGAGTCTCCATAGCCTACGGTCGTAATGGTGTTGATAGACCACCAAAGAGCATCCGGAATGGTGTGGAGAAACGAGTCTGGTTCGTTAATTTCTGCATAGTAAGTTAAAGCAGCACTAACAACGGTTGCTATGATCAATATAAAGAAGAGCAGACCAAGTTCATGCCTACTGGCAAAAAGCGTGTATATAAGCGCCCGCATACCTCTTGAGTACCTTGAGACCTTGAGAATTCTGGCAATGCGAAAAATTCTGAACGCCTTTAGAATTGACAGTGGTGTCATCTGAGTCTGGCTCTCGATTATAAGTTGTAAGTAGAACGGAATAATAGCCAAGAGGTCGATCCAATTCAATGGCGACTTGAAAAACTGCATTTTATTACTGCAGGATAAAAATCTAACGAAAAATTCAATGGTAAACCAAACGTAACATCCATGGTTCATTACGTAGATGATTTGTTTAACTTTGATGTAACCCTCACTCTTTGGATGCATCAGCGAAGGCAATGTTTCTGCGCACGTTATTACTATTGACAAGGCCAATGCAAATATACCTATAATTGTAATGATCTTTGCAAATATAGACGAATCGGGACTAGAGAACAGTTGCCAGAAAATCCTCTTGAGACGGTTCTTAGGCAGTTCATGCGATTCAGCGAGAATAAAACGATCAACTCTTTCAGGAAATGTTAGCAAATCTTCCTTTTTGCCAATTTCAAAGAAACTGAGTTCTGATACAAACTGTTTTTCTGTGATATTATCAGGTTTCGATATTCGGCCATTTGACTGGTAGTAGAACAGGATCGCATCGAACGCTCTTCTGTTTCTATCAAAAAAATATTCGCCACGAAAAGGATCGAAATATTTATTCCTCCGAGAAGGGGAACCAAGAAGAGTATTTGGGTAGCGGGCAAGAGTACTTTCAAACGTCTCAAAATGTGCACCACTGATGTTGATACAGACACGCTCATCTGCTCTTTCTGATAAGAATACCTCTGGATACATATCTGCCTGCCAATCTGGTTCCATTCTTCAAAGCATGCAGACTTGTTGCAGATTTTCAAGCCGTTTCATGACCATAGTTCATTCTGCAAATAAACTACCACGTGCTTGTTGGCATAGACATAAAAAATTTCAGTTCAAATAAATGAGCAGTTTCAGTTTGATTATATGTCCGCTTGTTATACTTGACTTTAATGGAAGTTATTGATTAGTGAGCAAATATCCTCCAGCTGTAACTAGAATGAACAATTCATTTCAGTTTCATTGTCGTCAGGTGCTGGTGCTTGAGAAAACATCAATCCATTTTTCATTTGAGACCTTTTGGATTGATGCATGATAGATACTATGTATTTTATTGCAACCAAGGGCTTTCACTTTGAACCGATTGGTATTCTCAATACTGCTCACATGATGCTTGTCAATTTGTCTGAAAACGAGAAAAGCAATGCTCACAAGAGAAGATTGTGATGCTAAATAAAGAAAGAGTTCAGAAATTCGCGTGGCATCTTCAGAACCTAATTCATTTACATAAAAGCCACTTATTGGATTCTAGTAATTTAGAACTGAAATATAAATTAAAAATGAGCAGAAGCAACGGCGATCAGTAAGGAACAATTCAATAAAACAAAATGTGACTTTAAACTTGGAAAATAATTAAAGAATATTAACTGATATTTTACTTTTGCAAACATGACTTCATCAGCATAACTAGCCGTCAACTAGTGTAACTAACTATTGAATACTGAACATTCGCTACCTCTTTCAACTGCTTAGGAAACGTAGCAAGGAAATCTTTAAAGTGTG